ACGGATGGAGAGACAATTTATTTATAGGATCGATACCAGTTTCAGTTTCTCTCTATGTTGGACTCATTTTAGAGTAGAACTGTCTTTGCAAAAATGTTCCGCTGTTGTGAACACAAATAAGTTAATCCACTCTTTGCCACTGCTGTTGTCATGTTGTGGGCACTCAAACATGAACCAACACGCAGCACTGCGCAGCGCAGCGCATACTCACGCCATTCCATCACTTAAAAGCAACAATGGAGTGCCTCTGTGGCTCACCTGGTCGAGTGCATACCATTTAAGTTCTGTGGTACCGTCCACCACTAACTAGCACAAAATGAAGGAGGACAATGAACACAGGAGTGAGACCACAGCTCTGTAACATAACTGATGTAAAAAAGAGCACTGGATTAAAAACACAAACAGCAACGAATAAAATTCAATCTGTAACTCCAGTTTGAGTGACCAATCACTACGTTTCAAGGCTTGTGAGACACCAAAGCACTGCACAGTGGTTTTTGTTTCACTGGCAAGTAAACTGTAGAAGGATGATGTTCATGTTAGAAGTGTAAAAGTGTCTTACAGCAACATTCAGAAGCTTTTGGGGCATGCTGACATTGCGCTTGTCAGAGAGTTAAGGAGGAACGCTGGAACATGCACATCACAAACCCAGTGGGTGGAAACAGAAGAACTGTACTGTACACTGCTACCCATATACTGTATACTAGTTCTGTCCCTTTCTTACAGAGGATGTGCACATGACAGGAGACTATTCAATCCACAATGAAGCCATTCATCAGCTAGCTCTCATAGGTTGACTTCTGGTAGTCACTGTTGCATACACTACCACAGAACAACATTTAGTTACATCAACATGTCAACCAATGTTTGCTTCACTTATTTCCTTCTGACCATACACACAAATGTGCAAGCTCTCATTCTCAGTCTCTCTCTCGCTTCCTATTTCTCTCTCTCTCTGGTCAGTTAACAACTTCAAGCGTCAGTGTCAGCAAACAAAGTTTCCATTCCTAATAGAGAATGAGAGACCGGTTCAACAAAGCCGGACAGCATCCGACTGGAATTCATCTCTGGCTTCAACTCAGCGTCGGCTGATAAAGACAAACCATCCAGACTAGCTCTAGCACTGCAGCATGAACACAACCCAACAATTTTCATGTTATCGTGACTAATTCTACATGGAAGACAAGTTTATTGGAATTCAGGGAACAATTAACAGAATGATCATTGAATCTGGGCATCACTTGCTCAATGTTTAGGTGAATATAACAAGGAATCTGGCCAAGTACACAGTGTCTGAATTCTGTCCCCCTCCACATGCTGAGGCTCCACACCCAAAACCTGTCACATTATTAATTGCTGCAAGTTAAGTGTGATATTTTACTGCAGGAGAACAAAGTCATTTTTCTTGCATCAGTTACATGTGTAACTTAACTCAGTCATCAAACATCATCTGGTCTGGAAGTGGAGAATGAGACCACACCAGTGGAGTCTAGTTTCACCCACATAACTCATTTTCCCAGGCCTAGTTCAACAATGTACTTTTCAGTCATTTCACTATAATACACACATCAGTAGTCGATTTCGTTCAGTGCTCGGTTTCTTCTCTAAACAGCAGCATGGAGTTGTAACGTACAGCCATACAACTGAACTGGATGAGATTTTTTTTTTTTTTTTTAGCTCCAGCAGTTCGAGTCAAAAACAAAGATGTAGTAAACACTTTGTTTTGAGAATCAGCAGGGTGCTGCAAGAAGCTGTGACTGCAGCGTGCAGCCAGTGACCACAGCATCCACCCTGCAGCACGGCTGGTGTTCCAGTTTAACTGGTGATCGTGTTGTCTGGTGATATTTGTGTACATTTTCCTCTTTCCGTGTTCCAGATATTCTTGTTCACAGATTCATCACTCATCATTCATTCATCATTTCAATAGTAGCCGGCTGCGGGTATATATTGAAGATATTGAAGACCACGCTGAAAAAACTTTAACATCACCAATTTATGATGTCTTTATCACCACCAGACAACAACCTGAAACTTGCTGGCCAAATAAGAAATATAAATCTATATCAAGCCCCATGGTGGGATTTGAACTATGTGTCTCAGTGATATAAAGCTCAGTCAGGCTCCTTCTTCTTTTCCAACGATGTCCTGCTTTACCTTTATAAATCTAGTTTACTGTCAGCTCTTCAACACCTGTTAATGACTCAGGAAATCAGTCTATTTGATAACAAGCTTCTAAAACAAATGATTGTCTTATATAGGAAACCCCAGCTGTTATGAAGAACCCACAAGCATGGCCATCTCAAAGGAAGTTGCTAAAAAAGGGCACATAGCGGTCATTACAATGCACATACATGTCATGATTGGTCATGTGAAAGTATCACTCCCCGACATCAACAAGGTGGAGCCTTGTGTGACATTATTGTGTGTATAGTGGGTGAATGCGCTTTTAGATGAACACATTACTTTCATGTATCCTCAGGTTATTTCTTGTTGAAGTTGGCAGACATGATTTTAAGGGAGGACGTGTTGGATGTTCCCTTTGATGAGCAAGGGATCAGTCATTTGAGAACAGAAACAGCCCAAATACTCAGCAAGGAAAAAGGTTGGTTTATAACTTGCTTTCATTAGTTATTGTAATGGAAGTGCTATTTATTTCAGGGAATAACATGATTTATCCTTAATCAACAGATATGATATGTCTGAACTTTGTCAGCATGACACACACGTGCATTGGGTAAGGTGTGTTTGGAGCAGTTGCAGTTGATTAATTATGGAACTGCTGTGCATGTCATTTCTTTCCTGCCAGACTGAGTGCAGGCTTTGCGGGAGCTGGTTCCACTGGAGCTGTGTTGGTCAACCACATGTCGACAGAGACTTTTATTGTCCTGCATGTGCTTAGAATCTGAAGGAAACAATAAGAGTCCCTTGTCAAACCATGCCAAGAGAGATTGTGTATTTCATGTTAAATTGATTGTGTATGCTGATATACTGCTTCTTATTTCTGACCTCATAATGCATTTGATGATTTGATGTCTACCACATCTCTTCTACATTTGTTTACACATTATTTGATCTCTGATATGACATACTCTACCTATACTATGGCCAGACGTCATGGCAACAGCATCATTTAAGGGATCAACATCAGAAACATCTAATGCAGGGGTCTCCAACAGGTGGCTCACGAAGTACCAGTAGTTTACCCCGTTTCAGAGTAGCTCACCCAAACGTTCACAGAATATAGTCTGTACAAACTATGGATGTGTGGTAAAACCTTTAAGCAACACAACTTCATACACCACCGCCCCTCTTCAACGCCAAATCATTATCAGTCAGTTGTCAGTCAAATGAGTTTGTTTCCATCAGATCAGCTGTAGGTGACATGCAGTGATATCAACTCTTCTGATAACAGAACAGATATAAACTAAACTTTTTATTATTAACCTTTATTTAGACAGGGGAATCCATTGAGACTGAGGTCTCATTTTCAATGGCGCCCTGGTTACATACAATAGAAAACAGTCAAACATTTGTTCATTAAAACAATCAATACAAAAACACCCATCTCAACAGCAACTTATCAATTAATAGCATAAAATAAAATAAAACATCAACATCAGACTCAAATAATAAATCTTAAAAAGTGCTTAATTTAATTTATTTATTTAACCTTTTTGCTTATTTAACCTAATTGTCTCTTGAAGGCTATTCTAGGCTCTAGGCACGCAATAGCTAAAAGCAGTTTTACCCAGTTGGGTTTTGATTTTTCCAACAAATATGTTGTCATGGATACAGTGAGTTAAAACTGTGGCTTCAACTTGAGCCCTGTTATTTTAGCCCATGTTTGTTTACATGATGAAAAAATGAAGCTATTTTTTAACTTCCTGTTTATTAAGTATCATTGATGTACTGACAACTATTACTTACTAAGGAGCTTCTTCTCTGGTTTCTAATCAGATTCTTGAAGGTTTATTTGCAGTGGTGTTTTCATGTCTGTATTCAGGTCTGACTGAATCATGGCTCAGATTTTTGTCTGATGTTTCAGATGTGGATATTGATACTTGATGACTTGTTAAATGATCGTATTGATCTGATTTTTTTTTCAGTTTGAGTGTTTTGATACGACATGTGAATAAATATAACCAGTAATATAAGACATGAGGAGCTCACAGCCCCTGATCTAACGGCAAAACCCAGCAGCCTGTGGCTCACCATGTGGGGGGGCACTTACAGGCAAACTAGTCGTCCGTTTGACCAGGGGTTCGGATCCCATGTCATTAAAAAAATTTAACTACTACTAATGTTTTAATGGGACTAAACGTGCGTGTTCTTATGGTTGTCATTTTTTAACTTAAGTTTTGGCAACCACCATTTTCATGGATATGACTCTGCGACTATAAAGATTTGGAGTTTGTTCCGATGAGCTAAAACGTAAACAAAGATCACAAGTTAACACGATCACCAGTTAAACCGGCAGCTCACTGACACAGCTCCAAAGCTGAGGTCTGATGCCACAACACTGCCTGCGACTAAACACAGATTAAACACACTCATCATACCAAGGTGCCGTTACATGAAGAAGAAGCAGAAGAAGAAGAAGAATACCTGAAAGGCATCATTAAAGAAACTGGGGAAACTTTATCTCAACAACCAGCAGCCCGCCGTGGGCTGCAGCTAGCATGCTAACAGCTAGCTGCAAAGCAACAGTCTCAACAGACTGCCGCTGATATTAGCATAGCTAACGCCAGCTCCCAGAGGCTCGGGTGGTGCTCTGACATGTACCTGTACCTGTGAGCAGACCTGCGGCCTCAGCCCTCTTTTCTTCGTCTTCTATTAGCCCTGCGGTGCTGGCACATTCATGATGCTTCCCAGTGCCGACGCCAGTCCCCTAGCCACAGGGATAACGCTACAGCTAGCTGCTGGCGCGACCACAACTACTCTGAGGAGCAGCTTCAGCTCCGAGACGTTCATGTGGCATCTGTCAGTGATTTCAGACTCACCAGTGTTGGTTTTCAGCGGGCAGCGGTCCGGGCAGAGGAAGGGAGCACAACAAGTCTCAGTGTTTGGAGTTAAAAGTCAACTTCAGCGCGTCGCTGCTCACTCCGCCATCTTGGTTCTGCTGGAAAACCTGGACTCAACCAAGTCTGGCATACTGAGGGGGTGGGGGGTTTAAAATGCAACCTACAACGTGATCTGTCTGAAGTTTGTTTTCACAGACCAAAGTCCAAAGGTAGACAGAGAATTATCAGCTGTTCAGGTCACATTAAGGACGGTCAGTGATTGCTCATATTAGCAACGGATCACTCCTGATCCCACAGTCACCGCACGGAAATAGCGTGTGTGTGTGTGTGTGTGTGTGTGTGTGTGTGTGTGTGTGTGTGTGTGTGTGTGTGTGTGTGTGTGAAGCTTTACAGATGTTCAGTGCAAAACAAGTTGATTCACCTCATGATCACAGTCACAGATTATTTATCAGTCATATATGAATTTTATTACCACAAATCAGACTGATACATGTGGATATAGGTTTGTTGATTAGTTCTGTTTATTAGGAACACCGAGCTGAAACTAAGTCAGTCTGATCAGACAGTGCTGCGACAGATCCTCCTGCATGAAGGTGTTGATGATCACCTCAAACTGTTTCAGAGATGTGTTGGTACAGCTGGAGGATCATTTATTTAACTTGGCTTTTAATTAGTTCATATTTTACTATTCTCATCGGTTTCTGTTTTTTATTTTCATTTACATATTTTATCATCTACTGTTTTCCTGTTGTCTAATTTCATTGTGCTTCAATCCGCCCTAATTTTATCGTATTTGATTTTTTAATTGTTTTTTAAAAGCACTTTGAGCTACATATCTTGTATGAAAAGGGCTCTATAGATAAAGGTCATTATTATTATTATTGTTGTTATTATTATTATTATTATTATTATTATTATTATTATTATTATTATTATTATTGTCATCATTATTTTGGAGGATGGAGTTTATGATGCTGTTGAACTGTTTTGGTGCCACTTTACAATTAGATGTATTTTATAAAGGATTTATGAATGGTTTATAACTAGTTTATTAATGAGCTTGTTAACAGTTGATAAATCCCTTATAAACTGTTGTATGAGTAAGGCATTAATAAATGGTGATGTGTTTCACAGTTTACAATAAGGCTTCTTTTACCAGTTATAAATGGTAGTAACTCATTAGTAAGATTAATGAGTTGTAAACATTAACTTGATCTTGACAAATTGTGAGTCTGCATCAATGTATGAAAACTTTGTTAGAACTTTTTTATAACTGGTTTATAATTGTTTATTTATGATTTATAAAGTGAAAACATCCAAATTAAATTAACTAATTGTAAACCATTTATAAATCCTTGTGTAGTGTAGTCTTATTGTAAAGTGGTAATGATAATAATTATCACTGTAATATATTTACTTTCATCCATGCTAAAGTGTCATCCTGTTAAACACCAGTGACATCAGATTGACACTGTGGTCATTTGTCCACAGACTGATTGTGAAGTATGTTTGGGATGTGAGAGGGAGGTCAGCCAAGCATAGGATGACATGTTAGCAAGGATTACTGAATGGGCCCACTGGGCACAGGGGCCCAGGGGCTGGAAAGATTAGAGGGACAAAAGGCCAGAGCCTCTGTATGAAGTGTTAATATTTCTTGTTTGTGGCCGTCTTGTGTCTCTTTCAGTCTGGGGGTCGTATAGGAAGGGTGGGGGACCTTTTACCTATTTGTGTCCTCAGGGGCCCATTTTCTAATAATCAGTCTATTGATGTTAGCCAAACAATGCCTGAAGAAAAGAGTGAACTGAGCTCTCTCAACCTGAGCTCTGCAATGGCCTAACAAGCCATGGCCTAACAAGCAAACAGATAAATGTCAGACATTGTGAAACAGGGGAGAACTACAATTAACTACAATTACAATCAGAGACAGAAAGACAGTCAGTTAACCGACCAAAACCTGAACATTATCTGTTCATGGAAAGTGTTACCATGCGTTTTTAAACACACCAGAATATAATTTACCTGTAAATCCTTTTTTAACTACAATGTCATTTTGAAATAACACTTATGATGTCATCAGGGTCACCTCAGCTTCAGCCTCAACATTTGTACCAGAGTCTGATTGACAACCTGAGTGAAGAGTTGTGGCAAAAAAAATCTGAACTCAGGCTCCACTTACTGGCTTTGTCAGCACTTTCAACCACGTCTTACTGTCTTCATCACCAAACTGGCTCAGGTGTCGTCATATGATCTGAATATGAACATTTAAGTGAGTGGAGTTAGTAACCTCTCTGTGGGTACAGATGGTAGTTTGAGTCATTGTGTTGTTGACTTCACAGTGACATGGTTAGTATGTGTCAGTGTGTCTATCCGGCACATGGTGTTCTATTATGGTTGCAAAAAGTAATTGTAACTGTCCTCAAGCTGAGCAGCCGAATCACAGCAGACCACACGACAGTGTGTTTAACATTTTTATTTCAAAATAGGCAAATTATGCAGCTAATTTAGTCCCATAGCACAACAGATGGAACAATAATTGGTATTATTTTATTCTCATTTTAATGCATAAGAAAATACAAACAAGGTATCTTGTGAATTATTTAGTTTTGCCTCTCATGGTCTTAAAATATATTTAGCTGTTCTGTTTATCATGAGCAATAAGATAAATAAATTGTACACATTTTGAAGGTAGGTTCCTTGTTCTACACAAAACAAAACTCAATAACTGTTCTTTGATAAATACGATCATAATCCTATCATCAATAAATAATACTACAATATTATTCCATAAATACATAATACTATAATATTATTGTCAAACAATGCATATTTACAGAACACTGTGCTAATTGAGGCAATAATCAAAAGTTAATTATTGAAATTTAATGTGTTGTTAATATGTTGCAACTGTCCCTGATCCGTGTTGGGGTCAGCTGCAACACCTGAATTCTTACATTCAAATAAATATTGTGAATGATCCGTCATATAATATAATCATCTGTAAATGGCCTGGGTCATTAGCAGACAGATCTAAGTTTAATATTTAAAAGTTTAGTTGGTCTCTGAGTAACTGAGACAAATGTAAGAAGTGTTGCAGCCGTCCACAGTCTCCCCTACCTGAGTGTCCCTTGGACATGCTGCAACCCCCCCCCCCCCCCCATCCCTCCCCTCACTCACAGATGATGTGCTCTGTGTAGGAAGGTCCTCACCTCTGATCCTATATACACTCTTAGTGTTTTCAAGTTCAAATGAAGACGTCCATGTGTGCGAGTAGGTGAGTTTTAAAGGCTTGGGTGTTTCACAGGAAGAACTGTGGGATCCATTTTCTTTGAATGCTGACTCGTACCAAGGGATTGAAAGTCTGGATATTTCATGATGTTGCAGCATGATGTTGGACACTGTGGAGTACCTCTGCTTCCTGGGCACCATTGTCACCAGGGCCTCAAGTGGTAGCTGAACATCAGCTCCCTCATCAAGTACGCCCAGCAGAGGATGTACTTCCTGCGGCAGCTGAAGAAGTTCAACCTGCAAAGGATAATGATGGTGAAGTTCCACACCTCCATCATCGAGTCCATCCTCACCTCCTCCATCACCACCTGGTACGCTGCTGCCACCGCTGCTGCCAAGGACAAGAGCAGACTGCAGCGTATCATTCACTCTGCCGAGAAGGTGATCGACTACAATCTGCCAACGATCCAGGACCTGTACACCTCCAGGACCCGTTCACCTCCAGGGCCCTGAGGTGAGCAGTAAAGATTCTACATTGCACATTCCCATTTGTATTGCATATATTTTTATGGTCTATAATATTTCTTCACATTTTATTGTAAATATTTTATTTCATTGTTGAATGTTTCTATTTATATCTTAAGGTATCTGACCTGCTGTATTGGCCTACTTGTTTAATCTTTGTTTATATTTCTTTTCTTCTTCTTATGTTTATTGAGACGCACCAAAACACCAAAGTGAAAGTATGTTGAAAACCTACTTGGCAATAAACCAGATTCTGATTCTGATTCTGATTCTGATTCTGATTTTGATTCTGAAATCAGAGGAGATCCATCAGATCAGTGATCAGTGGGTCACAGTCAGAGCTTTGATTTATTCTGGATTGAATCACCCATCTGACAGAGGAGGAGACCTGATGACGGAAAGGTTTTTAAATCAAAATGTAATGAGTGAACTTCATGCCACGTACAGTGTCTCCACTTTACAGCTGATCCTCAGACAGTCCTAGTGGCCTCTGGGATGTTCTTAAGACAAATATATAGATCACAGCTGTATGTCAAAGAAATGATTGTGCTGGGATCACATCAGCTGCAGCACGTTAACTGGGTCGGATGATTCCAAACTGATGTTTTGAATGAGACTGCTGAGGTTCTCTACTTCTTATGCTCTGTATCTGAGCCTCTTGAAGTCAGTCAAGTGGTTCAGACAGGCATCTGGTTAATTGTGTATGCAGAGCCCCATATGCTGAGGCAGCAGAGAGTCTGCACAGTCCTCAGTGAAGTCCTGGATCTTCCTGCAGCAGCTGTCTGAGGTGAATATCTCTTGATCATGTTTGCTTCCGAGGCGGCCGCTAATGTGATTTGACTTCCACTCATTAGCACAGGCCCAAACTATGGAGTCACAGGAGTGCCACAAAAAAGAATAAATCTGTAAAAGAATAAGAAAATAATGTGGAAATTTAAAGAGGAATACATAAAAGAATTAAAAAAATGTTTTGCTATTCCTTGAAGGGCCAAGCTGTCAGTCAACTGGCTTTGGGCAGGCTCTCCTGCCCAGGCTGAGTAGTTGATTCATACACACATGAATCCAGTTTGACGGGAGCTTTTAGTGTGGACAACAGGAAATGGATGTAGATTTGCACATGGGCAGTATGACACCAAGCATCAATGTCTGGGTTAAGATGAAACCAACACTGAAGAACAAAAACCTGCAGTTCCTCTAATGACCACTAGAGTCTGGCTCCAACAGTGAGTCAGTCTCCATAGACTTCCATGTTAAAATGTCCAACTTTACAGCAGAAATAAAAACATGTTTACAGCCTGGTACAAAAACAGTTTTGGTCTCTTTAGCTAATTTCCTCCTTCATGACAACTGT